CATCCTGATGATTGTTGGTTTGGAACCTTAAATGACAAGCAATACTTTTTTCTTTTTCTTTTTTTTCAAGTTTTGTTATTACAATAACTCTACAATAACAATATTACTACTGCCTCCATTTGGGAAGGAGTTAGAGAGGGGGAAGAGTATTTATTGCCTTCCCTTATTTGTGCCATAATGTTTCTGTTTTTATGAATCAATTCACAATTGTATTTTGTGGAGGTAGTGGTACTCAACAGGAAAGCTACTTAACTGGAAGTGAAGAAGGAAGTTAGTCATATTAGTGAAGACCAGAAGACAAAAGTGTTTATGTATCATTGTGTATTTTGGGGAGGAGAAGATGGGGGAAAGGCAAGTTTGTTTCCATTTCTGTTCTTTGTATTAAAATGAACAAATTGCTCTCAGCAAGTTTTTTTCTGAATCAACTTCTTTGATACACACACGCATGCACATGCTGATTTCTCTAGGTTTCTAAATGGTTTTCAGGTGAAAGGGTAACTTGGATAAAATGATAACAGTGAAAGAAAGAATGAAAACAGGAAACAGATGTCTGGTGACGTCGAGGGATTGGATAGCACTTATTCAGTGAACGATGTCTTAGTCACAAGGCAGCTGTATCCTGGCTCTGATACTACAACGCTACAAATATCTTGGAGCCAAAACAGCCACGTTCCACAAAATCCGGTCATTCTACTTTATAAAGGTGATCTTTTATCATCTTATAGTTGGAGAGGGCAAAAAAGGGCTGTATGTTCCTTTATTTAAAATATGCAATGCTTGTCTTTTTCACTTCTGTTAACAGTAGCCAGTATTTTGTATCAGTTGTTTGCATTTTTATTTACTAATGCAAAAAGTCACAAAGCTATAGAGGATTTCCTGTTCATTTTATCTCATCAGGAACACAAGTCTCCTAGCAACCAAATACAGAATTATCAAAAGCACAAGTAAGTTATTGACAAGGTTTCTAATAAATCCATAATAAAGTGTCCCAAAGGACTGTTGTTTATATGTCAGGCTTACTGGTGCAAGACTAAGCCAATGCTGGCATCTGAAGCCGTTCTCGTTACTTAGGTATATGGACCATGTTTTCATGTTCATAAGATAAAGGATTGTCTTGGATATCCTGTTTTGACAGGGCTTTTTCATGTGCCACAAGATGTGGCACAGCAAGAAGTACCTAATCTGCTGTAGGTGGAAAAGTATTACAGGCTAGCTGAGGAAAAGGAACTTTTATTTGTGTCACAAAATGCTGAAAGCCATGTCATTTTTTATCAGCAGCATCATATTTCTGAATGACTACTTGTTTAAACTGATTACAAATGTGAGACTGCAATCTTAATAAAGGTCTGTAAACATGTACATACCTTGTTTTATACTATGATAATTAGAAATCGTGTTTCTTGGGAACAGGTTCTACTGACTGCAGCCAGTCAGTGCTATACTTAGAGGTGGCTGACTGCAGACTCAAAATGAAGTGGGATTAAAATACATGGTTTTTCTTCTCTCATATATACGGCAGTGATAAACCTGGCTTCATTATACTTCATATAAAATCTGTGTTTCTAACAGTCAAAAGTTGGCTGTACAATCCACTGATTTCCAAAAAGAAATAAATTGAATCAGTAGCCCTGATCTGAATCTTTGCTGGCAGTGTGCCAGCATTGTTTTGACATAGAAGCATAATTGATGTTAGTCCTCCAGGAAGTCATATAAAAGTGATCGATTATGAAGATAGCTTCTCATTACTATTTTATTATTTTCTACTTTTTCTATTTTCTATTATTTTCTATATAAAAACCTTAAAACTAATTTAGCACTATTTAACACTCACAAGTTCTGCAAGCAACTTGAAATTGTTGCACAAGTCCCATATTTTAAATACTTTACCATTATGTATATCTAAAACATGAAAGATGCTCTGTATGTCCAATGTAATATACTATATGCAGCTTTTGGTTTTATAATTTTCTAAAAATGTGATCAGACAGGAATAATTTTATGTATCTTGAAATCCACACTTTAACTTAAGGTTATGGTTTAGTCTATGAAAAGAAAGGTCGCAAGTGTGACGAGGTTCTTGCCCATTAGAGGAAAATTACGAACATTTTAAGCTCCTTTATCTCCCACCCAGGTGGCTCATCTTGGTCTTTTGTAGCTGAAATATACATTGGCTAAAGAAGGATAATTTCTCAGTGGAAGCAAACTACCCTCAGATGTATTCTGTCTCCTGTGCTTAATATTCCCTCTGAAGCATCTGCATCTTCCCATGGTCTCTTCTCACCTTTCCCGCTGTAGTGGTGGGAACTACAGGGCTCAATCATTCTCACAGTGTCATCCTGTCTGGCCCACTCTGGGTTTGAAAATCTGGTTGTTTTATGTGCCTCTGGAGCAGGAAAAGTGTTGATCATTCCTGCATCTGTTTATATGGGGGGGTTGGGGGGGATTGACTTGAGTTTCCTGGACTGGTGTTGCTTTTGTTGTTAAAAATGTCAACTGCAATGTTGTTTATTTGTTAACCTTGTAGATTCCAAGCCACATGCCAAGCAACTTGGAGGGCCCTTTGAGCAATGGATTTAGTGTTTATCAGTCAATGAACACTCCTAGAAGAGTGCCTGTGCACTTAAATCTGAATTGCACACACTAGGTACCAATATAAAGGGCTAGACAATTCTGCATTCAGTGGACCAGTGCCCAAATCTGTCTCTCCTTGCACTTTTCTTCAGCCTCTGCAAGATTCATTCAGTCTCATGGTAGCATTGTCCTGTCTGGGTTCTAGTCTATAAATATGAGCAGATTAGTCCATATTTAGCCTGAAAATCTGTCATTTTTTTTTATTCCTTGGGCAGGTAATGAGAGCTAGACATTTGTGGACATAGAGCAGCCTATGAAAAATAAGTTGATGTGTTAATTTATGGTAAACTAGTTCTCTAGGGGTTTCTGTGATGCTGGTGTAGTTTGCTCTCTGTGTGGAGTACCTTAAATTAAGAAAATAAATCCACTTGATCTCTGACAAGGGAGATACATTTTTTTTAGTTGAACGTAACTGTGGTTCAGTGCTTCAAAAATTGGAATCCAAGTTCCTTATGCAGTTATTGTAGTGAGGTATTGTGTTAATTTCAAAATAAATGCATGTCTAAATTTACATTGCTCACATGTTAGCAGTACTTCAAACTTCTCTCATTGGAATCTCGTGGCTTTTGTAGTAATGTGATTGATACAGTCATTGTCTAGAGCCTAGAAGAATAAACATGTTCAGTTTGGAGCAGACATCCAAGCAATTCAGTGACACTAGACTCCACTGACTGTGACAGGAGTTGTAACATAACCCTCTTCTATGCACCCAAAACTTCAGCATCTAGAGCTGAATCCCACTCTTTGTTTTCAGTGACCCAAGATGTTTGAAGTTAATGGTCAGAATTTCTCCACAGGATCAGTGTATTGCCAGTGTGTGTTGCTGAGCTTGCCATTGGGAACTTGTGAAACCTGATGTACTAGGTTGTATTTATCTTTGAAAAAAGCATGCTTTTAAAATTACTTAGTGAAAAAAAGCAATTTAGAGGATCTATTGGTGCCACAAGAGGTGAGATGCTGGCAATCAGACAGTGCTATTTTAAAACTTTGAGACAGCAGCTTCTCCAGGATACAGAATTTGGTGATATCCCCACCTGGCAGCCTCTGGCTTTCAAGGTGGATGGCTCTCAGTTCCCAGCCCTGTACTCATATTTCCACTTAAAATTTGCCTGCCTGCCTTTGACCCTTGTGTAATACATACTGATGTTTGTGCTAGTTCTAATGTGTATGTTTACTCTATAAGCAAAGAACAGAAATTAAACTCACCTCTATTTGCAAAATAAAAAATGGGAGAGCAGGATGGTGCCTCTCTTGAGGTGTCTGCTTCACAAGTGCTGCTTGTAATGGCTAGAGAAGGTGACTGAGATGCTTAAACACAGATGTCTCACTGCTATCTGAGAAGATGCATCTGTTATATCTCATAGGGTACCCCCTATAGCTACTGTAACAGCTTGTGATGTTCATATAAGAGATGGATTTGGTAGTGATGTGCTTGGGTTTTGTGCATAGGCAATCATTTATCCCTTCTTTTTATTGTTTTTTCTGCTTTTTTTTTTTCTTGTCAAGGCCATTGCGCTTATTGCAGCAAGCAGTCTGAATATGGGCCATGTAGTAGGCTTGAAAACATTCAGAAAAAATAGTTCTACTGGTTTTATGCTGGACTTGGGTGATGTGGTGTTGCTGCTGCCCTGACTTCTGTGTAAAATGTCTGAGCTAAATGTGACTTTGCTGTTGGGCTTTGTTGTTTTTGGAAGACTCCAGCCCCCATGTTCATCATTAAAGACAGGTATATACTGTAGGATTATCATGAAATGAATTACCATAGTGACGGTGTAATTGTATAGTAAAATCTGGGTCAGTTTTTCTGCATGCATTTGTATGTCTCTGAGGGGCCTGAAGCACTGAGATGCTCAGATTTTGTTTGATGTGGGAAAGCTTATCTGTCCATTAAGAGAACCTAAAAAGAAAATGGGAGGTAAAAACCTATCAAGTAATTTTTGCTGCACCTTGTGAAAACTGCATGTTGTTCCAATTCCAATTGTTTTTGACTGAACTGGATGGCTATGCTGATAACATATTGGGAAGCTGCAATGGCAGCAGACCACCATGGCTATTGAAATGCACCTATGGTACTATATCAGGCTGGAGCCAAAGAAGAAATAATTTTGGAGACTTGGGAATGTGAGAATTCAAGATATGAAAATCTACCTGAAGAGATTCCAAAGTCAGAAATGTGTATTCTTCAACACCATTGAAACTCTGCTGCACGTTTAACTACTCTTTGTTTTTGCTGACTATACTGTTAGGAACTGTAAGTAGTCAAGAAATTATTTCAAGAATATACATTTTATGTTTTCTTTGTTGTCCTTAGAGTTTTCAGCTCTGCAGGAATCTTGTTTCCAAGTATTGTTCCTGTATCCAGCAAGACTAGAAGAAAATTTAAGAAGTGGGAGCCAGCATTTTCATGTGATGGCAATATTCCAGAAACTGGTGCTCTAGGATAAACAGTAAATAATGTGAGGCTTACAAAACACTTACTCATTCATTGCTAATACCCTGCTGATATTTTCATTGTTAGCATAATTTCTCTGCTGTCTCTGCAGGTGACATCCAGTCACATCTCCTCAGCCTGAAACCAAGCATCCAAACCTGAGGGTAACAAATACGATATTACCAGGTACACAAGCACCCCGCAGAAACATCCTTCTCCATCTGCTCCTCTCCCCTAATTACGAGACTGCTGCAGTCATTTGCAGTGCTGAGAGCTGCGTCTGCTTAGTGGGGACAGGGAGGAGAAGGTCCGGTGTCCTGCTAGAGGCAAGGCTGACACCTAGTGACCAGACTATTTATTCCTATGGGAATTCACTGTGTTCTGGTTCAGTCGCTATTCACCCTTATGTAGGTCTGGAAGATTTAAACTTCAAAGTGAATAGTTGCTTTATTTCATCGTCATTTTTGGCCTTTGTTTTCACTGCTTCTAGTATGCTCTTCTAAAGATGGAGTGTGGGAACTCAAAATGTCTCTCTGTCATTTTTAGAGGTTCCAGGCCTTGGTCAGAAGCATTCTAGACCCTGGCAGACAGCTGAAAAACAGCTGTGATTTTGAGTTTGAGCCATGGAATGAATTACCAACTTTGGAGGTGGAACAAGCAATCACAAAAGGTTAGATAGTATAGTAAAATTAGTTACAAAGTAGAGGGGAAATTTTTTAGTATTGTACAGGGGGGTTTTAACACATGTACAGGGGGGTTTTCACTTTGTACATGGGGGTCAGAAGTTCTAAGATGGAGGAAAGTGGGCTGATCCTGTTCTTCCTCCTTCTTTTTCCTTACCTGCATGTTCTTGGTGATGTTGGCACTCACAGATTGGTTTAGAATAGAAAAACACTTGGCAACGTAGGTAGTAGGTATTGGGGAATAATTGTAAACATGTTATACGTAATATATCTTATAAAAGATAGCAGCAGCCCTGGGCGGAGGGAGAGACGAAGAAGACAGCAGATAGAGAGGATGTCAGGGTGTGTGTGTGCCTCTGCCCAGGCCGCTGATCAAATAGCTGCAGTCCAAGAACATAATCTGTTAGATAACTAGCAATAAACTGCCTTGAGACTGAACAGCTAAAGCCTGTGGAGTTTTTCTTTGGAAGCACGGGTTGGAGGAGGAATTTCACCACCATATGAGACCCCAGAGCAAGGCTGGGGTTCTCACAATGGAGTTCAGCTAGCTTGCAGGCTTAAAACCTGATTTTGTAGAGGATTTTGCATGTAGTCTCCTGGGAGCTGTTCATGCCAGCTGTGCTGAGCAAACTGAGGTGGCTGATTGCAATCAACAGTAGCCTTAGAACATCATGCTTTTTGATTTTTCCTTAATAAAATCATGACTGACTGCAATATTTGTATTGTTTTTGCTCATCCTGTGTTAAAGAATCCAAAATCAAATGTATTGGGATATTCTCTGAGTTGCAGAATTTTCTTCCTGAAGATGTCTACTGACCAGAGACATCTTACAAGTAGTCTGCCACCTGGAAAGCACTACCTGTTCCATCATCATTGCAGATCCTGCTGGAAAGGCTCAGAGTTCTGGGCCTTAGCAAACTGCTTATTAAAGGGGAAGAGTAAAATCTAGCTAAAAAACTTTCATAGAATGCTTTCTTTGGTCATGTAGATTAGCATTTCAAGAGTATAACATATTGATGAGATTTGCTTTTTGCATTTACCAAAAGAAGTAGACATATCAATTTAGGAAAACAGCTCTTCAGATGGAATCAAAGGAGTCAACTCCCGTGTTGACTCCAAAAGTAGACTGGAGAGGGTCTCAGTGGTTGCCCATGCTAAAGGATTTCGCACTGATCCCTGTACTGAAGCCTTAAAAAAACCTTCTTGGAGCAGTCCTTGGGATTGGAGGAATATTTTGTCTTTTAAATGTCTCTTGTCATTTAAATGAAGTATTGGAAATAAGGTTGATAGCACATGGCATGTTTGAAACTAACACTGTGTTTGACTACACAAAGAGTCAGAGCTCAATGTTTTTCTGTGCCTGAAAGGAAACTTTGATTCTTCCTGAATGAAATAACTAGGAACTTGCACAAGCCTCCTGTTGTTGAACAGAAAGACAAGCCTTTTTTCCTTCAGATAATCTTTTATATCTCACTCAGAACTTTATGTATGGCCCTGATTCTGTATCTGTGGCATGTTTCTAATTAGCCCATGAAAGAATAAAAGTTCTGTGTTTTAAAATCTACTGATTTTTCCTCTGCTAATTATTGTTGATAGGATGAGCCTCTGGAGAGAAGGCTAGCATGTTCCCAAGGCAAATTCCCCTTCACAGTGCTGTGACACTAGGAATGAGATTGGCAAACCTGCTAGAATGCATACATACACTGAAGATTTTTTCCCTCTCTAAAAACTGGTGGTTCAATTCCACATCTCAAAATCATCACCCAGTACTGTTTGCCTGAGATGAAAATTGTGTTTTCTTACTTGTGCTTGCAGCCATCTTTGGTGTCTCTAACAAACAGATTTATAGGGTTGTTCATTTGCATACTTACTTTGAATAATTATTTTTAAGGTTCACAAAACCTGATTTCTCAACTAATTAATTAACCTGAACAAGTGCCACAGAACAGGTAAACATGGCTTTGAGCAGGGGTAAGTAAGACTTCAAATTATTCATGTTCAAAGAGAAATATTGAGGACTCTGAAGACCTGAAGGCCTTAATGTGATCCTTAAGTATATAAGGAATTCTTTATATAATAACCCTTTTTTTTTTTTTTTTGGTAGGTAATGGAAGTTTTGTTAATTGGTCAGACTAAGCCAATTGTTTTCATTATTTCAGACCCCAAGTGCAGGATTCCTGCCTTTGTTCAGAGCAAAAGGGAAAAATAAACTTCTCTAGTATCAAATAAGTAGGCACAAAAAAGCAGGGCATCTGTTAGAGCTCCATCTTTATGTACTGGTAGACATCACCTTTGGAAAACCTACTCTGAGTCTCAGTCTTTGTCAGTTGTGTGCTCTTGCACTGGTAGCAGTAGTACCAGAGTAGCAGATGCCCAAGGGGTACATCCAGATACATCCAGGGATACAGCCAGGTCCATATGTCTGCTCCAAAATAACATTTGGTGTGGGGCTGCAGCAATGCAGACATGGGAACATGTGCAGGCAGAGCCAAGATGTGCTAGTTTTGGTTGGGATAGAGTTAATTTTCTTCCCAGTGGCTGGGATGAGGCTCTGTTTTGGCTTTGTGCTGAACACAGTGATAATAATACAGAGATGTTTTTGTGCCATTTCTGCTTTTTGTGCTGCCACGCTGGTGAGGGGGCTGGGGGTGCATGGGAGGGTGGGAGGAGACACAGCCAGGACAGGTGACCCCAACTGACCAAAGGGATATTCCAGACCATGTGGCATCATGTTCAGTATAGAAAGTGGGGGAAGAAGGAGGAAGTGAGGAGGCATTTGAAGTGATGTCATTTGTCTTCCCAAGTCCCTGTTATTTGTGATGGGGCCCTGCTCCCCTGGGGATGACTGAACACCTGCCTGCCCATGGGAAGCACTGAATCAATTTCTTGTTTTGCTTTGCTTCTGCATATGACTTTTGCTTTCCCTATTTATGTCTTTATCTCAACCAGCAAGTTCTTTTTTTACCCTTCCAAATCTTTCCCCAATCCCAGTGGTTGGGGCATGAGTGAGTGGGTGTGTGGAGCTTGGCTGCTGGTTGAGCCATGACACAAGGGAAATCACTCAGAGCATTCCCCTGTGCTCAAAACTCCCCCTGAAACCTATTTCATGTGGTAACCACAGTCCTCCAGCACTATACCAGCCTGGAGATGGTGGCACACAGAGAGCCCTGTGAACCAGGAAAGTGCTCCCATGTTCTCTCCACTTCTGTGACCTGGATGGAGAGCAGCTTGTGTCCTCCCCGCCCTGGAACTTTGGGTTGAATGCTTTGTTGGCTGGATTGGGAGCTGAAGGGTTAACCTGCCTCCTGGCCTAGCACAGGGTTTTGGAAGAGTTCTCCTCTGACAGAACTCACCTGCAAGACCCCACTATCATCTGCCATGTGGCAATGGGGGAAGAATTGACTTTTCTTTCTTTGTGCAGTGTCAAACCCAGTCAGGACAGTCACTGGCGCAGTTCTGCATGCTCGTAAGACCAGCTACTATCATACTAAAGCAGAGAATGACCTTTCAGACTCACATGCCTTTGTCTGATGTCTGCATGCAGCCATGTAGGAACCAATAAGTAAGGTAGGTAGCTCTGTGGCTCTTCTGACTGTATTGTATCCAAAATTGCCAGAGCTTTAGTGCTACTTCTGGCTATCCAAGGAGTCAGGCCACTTATATTTCCTTTTCATATAATAAGCTTTACCACCACCTCACTTGGATTTTACCTGTATTTTATTGGTAATTCTATTGAATTCATCATACACTTGCAAATATGAAGTATAATAGCATTTCCTAATTTCATTCACAGTTGAAGTTGCAGTTAAATGAAAGTTAAAGCTCAGTGTACCTATTTGATCTTAGTTTTTCTTCTATGACTCAGGATATGTCCCCCACTGCACATTCCCTTGTGTTTTACACAGCTGTGTTCTAAGAATACCAATTCATGAAACCTTAGGTGAAGAATTTATGGCATTGAGATTGTTTGTTGGGTTGTTTGTTTGTTTGTTTGTTTGTTTTTGTTTGGTTGGTTTTTTGTTTTGTAAAAACCACCAGGAAATACATAATATTACACTGAAAATCTGTATCTCTGTCCACTAATACTCTTTATCAGAAGTAGTCAGCTGTTTGTGATCATTTCTGCCTAGAGTGTTACTGACTCCTTTTTGAAACAGGAATTTTTGAAAATGCCTAGTTCCACTTTCCTATAAAAGCATATCAACTTGTCCAAATAAAGACATCATGTGAATTTTTGTGGTCATTTGAGAATGAATGAATTTCTTTTTGTATGTCTGATCAACTTACTCAAATTATTAACATGAACAGAAAATGGTCACTAAAATAAATAGGTCACAGGTCTATGAAAGAAAAAGTTGTTATGACATAGAGAGAAATGAGAGAAATGACTGAGTCTTGTAGGACATAGGTCATCCTGACTCATGGCACGTTCTATTCTGATTAACCTATCTGTACGAATTTGTTCAGATCAATTAGATTACATATCTTTGTGGTTCTTTCACATCCAATCTGAAAACAAATGTGTCCCTTATTTGCTATGAAAATACTGTCGTTTGTTGCCCCTTGACTGATTATCAAAATCCAATTAGCAATCTACTCCCTCGCTACTACTTTGTTCTGGTAGGAATCATAGTGTACATAAATCACTGATTTAATCAAACTGCAGCCTGGTGGCCAAAAATACATCAACCTTTTATATAATCTTAAAGAGTTTTCAAGTGAAACTTTGACCTGGATGCCTGTCAATCTACAGAATTTCTGGGAAGTTGGTAACTAGTAGTCCATTGCTCACAAAGTTTGGAAGGCACAGACAGAGCAAGAGCTGGCCACGTTGGCTTTGCCACTACTTCACTAGGTAGCAGAGCTCTCAGCTGCAGGCCTGCCTGGGAAGGAGGG